TTTTTTTGTCTTCTTTTTTGAAAATAGAGACAGTGGTCTCACTACGTTGCCCAGGCTGGTCTTGAACTCCTGGCCTCAGGTGATCTCCAGCTTCAGCCTCCCAAAGGGCCACTGTGCCTGGCCTTTTAATTTCATCTTGTCCTAATTAACAACATTCCTGAAATCATGAGTGTGGTACACTGTTGAGTTGTTTCCAATACATTTAAGAATAAATATCTAGCTATTAAAATAATTTATACCTCCTGGCCATGAACCACCAGATACTGATCCCACACTTTAGAAACGTAGGAAATTGGCTGGGCATGGTGGCTCATGCCTGTAATCCTAGCACTTTGGGAGGCCAAGATGGGTGGATCACCTGAGGTCAGGAGTTCGAGACCAGCCTAACCAACATGGTGAAACCCTGGATCTACTAAAAAATACAAAAATTAGCCAGGTGTGGTGGTGGGTGCCTGTAAACCCAGCTACTTGGGAGGCTGAGGCAGGAGAATCACTTGAATCCGGGAGGCAGAGGTTGTAGTGAGCCAAGATCGCACCACTGCACTCCAGTGTGGGCAATAGAGTGAGATCCCATCTCCAGAAAACAAAATTAAAATAAAATCTGCTGACTTTACTCAATCCAACTCCTTTCCATATCCAGCTCTAAGAATAATAGTTCCTAGGCTCAAGTGATCCACCTGCCTAGGCCTCCCAGGGTGCTGGGATTACATGAGTGAGCCACTGCGCTGGGCCAAATCAGCGGGTTTTACAGGCAGGTATACACACTGGCAATGAAGCGCAAGCAAAGCAAGGGCGGTCTCTGACCTCAGGGAGAGTGCAGTATCTGAAGAGCTCCTTATCTTCCTGGAAATCCTGGACCTTCGTGATCATCTTCTCACCGTGAGCATATTCTGATTTCAAAATGGCCACGTCCCTCATTACTGTTAATCCTAATGGTTTCACCTCCTTTCTGCAGATTTTTTCAAACTCATTCCTAGAAAATTGAATTTGCAAATGATGTCATTACCACTGGCTTGAAGCACCTGCCTGGCCCTCCTCTGTGGAAAGGTTTGCAGACTTGAGGGGTGGTGTCTCTGTACTAAGTTGACCTCCAGCTAGAGGAGAATAATTCCAGCGAAAGCGAGGAGGAATTGTCAGGCTAGAATCCACTACCAGAATTAAATCATTCCTTAGCTTAGCATACCAGTAGGGAAATGTTATGATTTGGTTACATTGTAATATAATAGAAACACTTCTGTAGCACTTACCATGGGCTCTGTTCCAAGTGCTTTCTGTATATTTCACCTTATTTAGTCCTAACGACAGTAGGACATAAGTACTATTATTATTATTATTATTATTATTTTGAGATGGAGTCTTGCTCAGTTGCCCAGGCTGGAGTGCAGTGGTGCAATCTGGACTCACTGTAACCTCTGCCTCCCAGGTTCAAGCAATTCTCCTGCCTCAGCCTCCCAGTAGCTGGGATTACAGGCACCTGCCACCACTCCTGGCTAATTTTTTTTTTGAATTTTTAGTAGAGATGGTATTTCACTATGTTGGCCAGGCTGGTCTTGAACCCCTGACCTCAAACGATTCACCCGCCTCAGTCTCCCAAAGTGCTGGGATTACAGGTGTGAACCACCACACCTGGCAAGTACTATTACTATTGCCATTTTACAGATGAGAAAACAGAGGCATGGGATGTTGAGTAAATTTCCCCAGGACACATGATATTAAGTGTCTATAGAGCTGACACTGAAGCCCGGGTGTGGTGGCTCCCAACTGTAATCCCAGCAACTCAGGAGGGTGAGGCCAGGAGTTCAAGGCCAGCCTGGGCAGCATAGTGAGAACCCCATCTCTATAAACAAATTAAAAATTAACCAAGTGTGGTGGTGCACACCTGTGGTCCCAGCTAGCCAGGTGGCTAAGGCAGGAGGATTGCTTGAGCCCAGGAATTAGAGGCTGCAGTGAGCTATGATAACACCACTGCATTCCAGCCTACAAAACAGAGCAAGACCCTTTTTCTATAAAAAATAAAAAAGCCAGTCTGGCACCTGAGCCCATGCTTTTAAATATTTCCCAACAAACCAAATAATTAAAAAAATCTGTACATGCAGGAGTGAATCCACCATGTATTCTCATTACATGCACACAATACATACTTTTGTAAAATAACAAACTGTTACAGTACCGAAAGCGTTGAATATCAGCATCAGATACCAGATTTTTAATTACAAGATACCCATTTTCTTCATAAAATTTTCTCTGTTCCAGGGTGAGAACATTATTATCCAGACTATACCTAAAGGAGAAAAAGAATCCCCAAATAAGTTAAATTTTTAAATTGCAGGCTCTGCACAGTGGCTCACACCTGTAATCCCAGCACCTTGGAAGGCTGAGGCAAGTGGATCACTTGAAGTCAGGAGTTCAAGACCAGCCCAGGCAACATGATGAAACTCTGTCTCTACAAGAAATACTGGATGTGCCACTGCACTCCAGCTTGGGTGACATAGTGATACGTGTCTCAAAAAAAAAAAAATTTTTTTTTTTTTTAATTACAAACTAAAAATATGTATAAAGAACCTGAGGCCCGGTGTGGTGGCTCACGCCTCTAATCTGAGCACTTTGGGAGGCTGAGGCAGGTGGATCACCTGAGGTCAGGAGTTTGAGACCAGCCTGAGGTCAGGAGTTTGAGACCAGTTTGACACAGAGAGAGA